GTCTACATGTTCCACTGTTTCACCAGCAGGAAGACAAAGGTGCTGAGGGATTTTCTGGATATCTGGCATAATATCCCATCACTTATTGAGCTCCTTTCAGAAACCATGAGAGAATCACTGAGAAGTAAAACCGGCCACCTGGACCTGTTTGTCCGCTTCCTTCATGGCCTCTGTCTGGAATCCAACCAGAGACTCTTAGGAGGTCTGCTGGGTCAGACAGAGAAAAACCCAGGAACCATCCAGAGAGTCATCAACAACCTGAAGATGATGAACAGTGATAAAATCTCTCCTGACAGAAGCATCAACATTTTTTACTGTCTGATAGAAATGAATAACCTCTCAATACATCAGGATATCCAAGAATTTTTGAAGTCAAAAAACAGATCAGAGAGACTCTTTGAGATCCACTGCTCAGCTCTGGCCTTCATGCTGCAGATGTCAAAAGAGGTTCTGGATGAGTTGGACCTGCAGAAATACAACACATCAGACCAAGGACGACACAGACTGATTCCAGCTGTGAGGAACTGCAGAAAGGCTCGGTGAGTCCAGATGTGCTCATTTACACCATAAATCAGTGTAGACTGGTAGATTTGTTTTTAATACGTAGACAGTACAAAATCATTTTCTTTTGTTTTAGTTTTACATTCAGCTTTCCTTTGGTGAAAGCAAAGCTCAGCAGTTTTTCACACGGTAAAAGGAGTATGAGGCCACTCATACTTAGGGGGTTATTGTCATTGGATCCTTAGAACACCTGGGTGGATGATGTAGATGATGGTGGTGGCTCAGTTTTTTGGTGATTAAATACAAAAAATACATAGATTTCTGTAATTGTTGGATAACATTTAAATAATATGACAGGAAAATGCAGCCATTTAAAGTCACTTTAAATCTAGCTGAAATCAATTTATTTTGTTTTATATTTATTAGAAGGCTCAATCATGTGTTGTTGTGAATGTATTTAAATGTAACATTCACTGGCTGGTAAAGATTTTGTTTTCATCTGGATGTGGGAGACTTGCTGTGTCTTTCTCTGTCAGCCACTGTGTTTGTATAGAGGTGGAGAGCAGTTACCTTATTCTGTCTCAGGCTCATAATTAGTGACATAGTGAGTGGTTCAATCTCCATGAATCACTGGAATCACAAACACAAACTGCCTACACCAACAGAAATAGCCTCTGCTACCCCAAAACTGCTCCAGATGACCTCAACAACAGAAACTGTCCTTGCTGCTCCACCACACACACTTGAGCTTTTTTGCATTAATGTACACTCGGTCTGTCTTTATAACACAGATTGTATATTTTCTATAATCACAGACTGGCTCAGTGTGGACTCTCAGAGACTCACTATGAAGTTGTGGTCTCAGCTCTGAAGTCCAACCCCTCCCATTTGACAGAGCTGGACATGAGTGGAAACAAGCTGCAAGGTTCAGGCGTGAAGCTTCTGTGTGCTGGACTGGAGAGTCCAAACTGTCGACTGGAGACTCTGAGGTGAGTTCACTGACTGCAGCTGTTGTTTTTTTTCTATATTTCAGATCTTTGATTCATGTTTGAAACTTTCTTTAGTTCCTAAATGTTCAGGATGTGTCTGAAGACAAATGTGAAGAAGTTTGAGTGCTTTCAGAAATGTTGTCTCTTGCCAAATGACTGAACAACAGTTTTTCCTTTTGGCTCCAAATAGAAGTGACAGGCTATTATGAGGATCTTGATCTCACTCAATTAAACATTTAAAACATTCCGCTTTGTTTTTCAAATTTTACTCCACTCAGCCATTTAAACTAATTGTCGTTCAGAAATCATAAAAAATGAAACTAAATATTGAAGCTCACTATTTCTATTATTGCTGGAGAAGCAACATGTTCATTCAGTATCAGCTTTTATATTCTCAATTTTCTGCTGTGAAAACATTATGAATACTGAATGACTTCAAACAGGAAGTCAATTTGTTAAGCTGATACCTTTTACATTTTTATTCAGATTGGAGAAATGCAGTTTGTCAGATATCAGCTGTGATTATCTGGCCTCTGCTTTGAAGTCCAACCCCTCCCATCTGAAACATCTGGACTTGAGTCTTAACATGATGCAAGATTCAGGATTGGAGCGGCTATGTGGTTTTCTGGAGGATCCACACGGGGGACTGCAGACTCTGAGGTTAGACGCCACGTTTTTATGATATGCAAATCCAGAGAACTTAAATTTTCAGTTCTATGGATTTAACAAAATTTTATCTTACTGTAGTAGTAAGTCATTACCAGTTTACTGGGTAAGAAGCAATTAACATTAATCACACACCAGTCAAAACACCCAAAAGTTCATTTTAACTCTCAAGAACTTATTGACATTTAATGAACAGCATAGATGTCCTGCCAGTGTCAGTGTGTCTCTCCCTGCAAAGTCTTTGGGTTTTTTTCTCTTACAAAATATTTTATAAGTAAGTAAAGTTTATTTATTAAGTGCTTTTCATACACAGGTAGTCACAAAGCTCTGTGCAAGGTTAAAATAAACAGAACGTAAAGTACCAAAACAGACAATACAATGTAAATAAAAAAAATAAAAATAAAAAATAACAACAACAACAACAACAAAATTGCTCAACAGAAGGCTTGTTAAAATAGAAAAGTTTTAAAGGATTCCACAGAGTCCACCAAACGTAGCTGTGGTCGTAGACTTCCGGTGCCCGAAGCCAGACTCAATAACCAATGTACTTTAAAAGAACCGATCAAAAGACTTGTTCCAAGGTCTCACCAAACTCCTAGTACACCTGAGTTTTGGCATCAGCCGCTGCCAAAGCTGCACTCTGCCTGGCCTGATGGTACCTGTCAGCTGCCTCTGATAACAGATAACACTCCTGTATGTATAATGTGTAGGTACAAAAATACTTTAGTCTATTTGGTGTAGATTAAACTTGCTCAGAATCATCAGATTGAGTATGTAGACTGAATGACCCAGAGGTGTACTGAGGAGTACAAGGTGAACAGGAATAGAGACAGCATATAGTCCATTGTTGAGCTCCTGTATAAGAATTAGATAACTTTATTAATCTCTAAGGAAATTAGATAGTTACAGTCACTCTAGGGCAGGGGTCTCAAACAAACGGCCCGCAGGCCATTTGCGGCCCACGGGCCATTTGTGGCCCACGTCACCTCTGCTTGCGGCCGGCATATAGATGTGAAGAAGAATTTTTTTCAAAAAATGATTTAATACGACGGCAGTGTGTTACAAGCATGGCCCTTTAAGACTGTAGCCTCGTGGGCGGTGTAGTCCGTGCTGCAGGGAGAACATGTGGGACCGCCCCTCCCGCTGTGTGTGTGTGAGGGAGGGAGAAAAGGGAAAGTCGAAAAGTACGAGGTGCTACCGAGCAGAAACGGGAGATGGAAGCAGTGCCTGACCAGCCCAGTTGTAAGCTGTAAGTACTCAACTGTACACTGTGTTCGTGTTTTCCTCCGAAACAATCAAGTTCTGCTGGAGCAGCCTTTCAACGCCTCTCTCTGTCTCTCGCTAGCAAAGTTGACCCAGACAGTAAAGCTAGTTCCCGGCTACGAGCCCGACACAGAACCCGAAGTATTAGCCAGAGGTCTCTTTACCACGGTTCGGAGCCACGGACCTGGCCAAGGTAACAAGGGAGTGCAAACATGTTGAGGGCTGTGTTAGTTCAGTGAGAGATTTATTTGTAAAGAAAACAATTTTCACTTGCCGTCGAATACTAATGTGTACGCTTATGCCTGCATTTTTATTTTGTTAAATACAAACAAAATTGTAGCAGAAGTGCTGCCACGTGTCTGGCCAGAAAGAGCTGTTTATTTGGTAGTTCAATGAAACTACTGTACTATACCGCTGAGTGACTGTCTTCTGCTTGTCAAATACATTTCATTGCATTTTCATTGCAGTTAAGAGTGAGAAAAAAAATTGCGTTCATGTTTGAAATTTTGTCTTGTTACACAGTATTTGGAATTAAATAAAACAAACAAAACACTACATTTTAGGAAATATTAGTGGGTGTTTTCTTGTTTGTTTTTTGTACTACTTGAACACTAAAGTGGCCCTCCAATGAGATGACAGTGCCAGAAGTGGCCTGCGGCTCATTTGAGTTTGAGACCCCTGCTCTAGGGCAATAACGGTAACAGACTGAACTGAATTAAACAATATAATATATTACAGACTTTAGAAAGATATAAAAAATAACTCTAATATATACAAATGGCTCAATTATAGATCCATCCATCCATTCTCTTCCACTTATCCTTGTCAGGCTCGCACGGGGGGCTGGAGCCTATCCCAGCTACCATAGGGCGAGAGGCGGGGCACACCCTGGACAGATCACCAGTCTGTCACAGGGAAACACATTTAACCGTTCACACTCAAATTCATAACTATGAACAATTTAGAGTTACCAGTCAACTCAGCTGGGAAGCTGAGGTAACCAGAGAGAATGCAAACTGGGCCAAATATACCATATACACACATACACAAATATATAAATACAGATTATACAATAGGGATAAATAGAATAAACAGGAATAAGAATACCAGGGAATTGCACATTTCAACTTTTGTGAGTCTATTACACCGTTGAATGTTAAAAGAGAGAGAGAAAATATATATAAATATGTAAAACATATTGCACAGTGACAAAGGCACTACACATTAGTTGTTCCCCCCTCCTTTGTCCCCCTGTTTCCCCTCCCTCTCCCCTCCAGAGAGGAGTTAAACAGTTTGATGGCGTGTGGGACAAAGGAGTTTTTAAGTCTGTTGGTCGTTGACTTGGGGAGAAGCAACCTGTCACTGAACAGACTCCTCTGGTTGTTTATGGCCATATGCAGATGATGCCCAGCATTGTCCATAATGTCCAACAGGTTCTTTATTGTAGTAGGCCACGAGATGACAGACTTCTGAGCATCACGTCTGTCCTGAAGATTGTCTCCTTGGCATCTTTGCTTAGGGCTTGTTATTGTGCTGCCATCACCAGAACCTCTGTGTTGTCTTTTTCTAGCCACTATTAGGCTTAGGCTATATGTGTCTGGTTCATAATAAATTACATTAATTAGAGTCTCACTGTTGGACACATTGCATCATATAATCTGAAAAACAGTGAAACCCTCAATGATTTAAACCAGAAACTGTCGAATAAGCTTTTTTCTTTTCCTCTTTATACAGACTGGAGTGGTGCAGTTTGTCACAGGTCAGCTGTTATTATCTGGCCTCAGCTATGAAGTCCAACCCCTCCCATCTGAAACATCTGGTCCTGAGGGGAAACAACCTGCAGGATTTAGGAGTGAAGCAGCTGTGTGGTTTCCTGGAGAGTCCCCGCTGTAGACTGGAAACACTGAGGTCAGACGCTATGTTTTAGTTATGTTAAAGAGGCTGCAGACATTAGGCTGATATTAATAATAAAATAATAATGGATTGCATTTATATAGCACTTTTCGAGACCCTCAAAGTGCTTTACAATTCCACTATTCATTCACACACTGGTGGAGGCAGCTACAGTTGTAGCCACAGCTGCCCTGGGACAGACTGACAGAAGCGAGGCTGCCATCGGCCCCTCTGGCCATCACCAGTAGGCAGTAGGTGAAGTGTCTTGCCCAAGGACACAACGACTGAGACTGTCCGAGTCGGGGCTCAAACCGGCAACCTTCCGATTACAAGGCGAACTGCCAACTCTTGAGCCACGATCGGCGATCGCAGTATTATACTGATCTACAATCAGGATCTTCATTGTGCACTCTTCTGGTTTTGGTTCAGTCAGTATCTGGTGTGGCCACCATTTGCCTCACACAGTGTAAAACCGTTGCATAGAGTTGATCAGGTTGTTGATTGTGGGCTGTGGAACATTGGTCCACTCCTCTTCAATAGCTGAGTGATTTTGCAGAATATTGGCAGGAACTGGAACATGCTGTCATATACCCCGGATCCAGAGCATCCCAAACATACTCGATACTTCCAAATATTGTGTACAGATCCTTGCAATATGGGGCTGTGCATTATCATCCGGCAACATGACGGTTGTGGATGAATGGCACAACAATGGGCCTCGGGATCTTGTCACGGTATCGCTGTGCATTTAAAATGCGAGCAATAAAATGCACCTGTGTTCGTTGTCCATAACATACGCCTGGCCATACCAGAACTGCACCGCCACCATGGGCAAATCGATCCACAACAGTGACGTCAGCAAACCGCTCACCCATACGATGCCACACACCGATTGTTGCTGCAGCTGGTCTCAGATGATCCTAGAGGTGAACATGCTGGATGTGGAGGTACGCCTTTGGAGATGGCTCATGGCAGAGAAATGAACATTCATTTCATGGGCAACAGCTCTGGTAGACGGCTCCTGAAGAGTGAAGAAGAGCCTCAGAAAATGAGAGCAGAAGGAAAAAGGAACGGTCAGCTTTGTTTTTGATTGGCTGGAAGAGTGGAAGGTCAAAGATGTTACAGACACAGGAAGTGACCTTATAGTCAAGGCTGGAGCAGCTGGGCCGTTCTGGGTTTCTCTGATTTTGCTGTTCTGGTCCTGATGCTGTGAAACCAGAGGGCAGCATATACATATTTACTAGGGGTGCAACGATATTCGTATTGATATTGAACCGTTCTGACGATGCTGTCTGTGTTGAGCGCTCAGTGGATCTGC